TCAAATAAAATTTTCGAGGCCACCATTGATTTTTTTCTGGCAAAAAAGAGAAGCACGGAAAGCCGTTTCGGCGAACACTTTTGGCCGCTACTGTATATCAAGGAAAGGGATCGCTCCATCGTGGATCACCGTATACCACATTGTGGACACCCTAAGAATCTCCACTTTGCACATTGACATGGGAGGTCGTTGAGGTGAGAGGAGGCGAAAGTAAACTGACTGACCCAAGCAAGCTTGACAAAGAAAAGGAAAATGAGTTGGCTCAAACCACTGTGGAGCAGATGTTAGGTACAACAAGAGAGTGGATAATATTCACACTACGTTAGTGTTTCGACTGAGATCAAAGAAGCAGTACTGAATTATTGGGAGAAAAAAGCTCAAGATGTACCTATTCCCATGTTGTGGTGACCGTTAGCATGTTCTGCTCGCAGTCTGGTAACCAAGTCGGCACTATCGAGACCCGCATTGTCACAAATAATCGTTGGTAGCTGAGCCAGAGCACGAGCAAATGCTTCAACTGCCAGTGCCTCCTTTCCTGCCACCTGAACACAACAAGCACTCGCTAATATTGAGAAAGAAGCGAAACGAGCCATACTTTTTCTTTATCAATTATTTCGGTCACAAAATGCCTTTTATTTGCATTACACGTAAAATTTCTAACGAATCCATACCTTATGACTCTCCATGGCCACTGCTGTGCTCATATGAACTTCTGATGCACCAGCACCAGCCACGGTTTTGGACTCTTTGACGTGGAGTGATTCAGCACACAAGAGCGCGTCATGCAACGATCGCTCCGCCTCTTCCAGGATCTGTTGCGTGGCACCACGGAGCACAATCGAACAAGCTTCCCCTACAAACGATGCTTTACTACTAGCCAATTAATTGTAGGAGTAAGGTAAAAATAAAAACTGTGAATGAGTACAAACCAAGAGGTACACCACTAAAACGCAATAGACGGTCTTCGCCAATCATCACTTCCTCGATAAGATCACATGAGCCGAATTTCACATTTTCTGGTGTGTCGAATGTTGAGACGATTTCTCCACCTTGACAACATCAGACTTAGAAAAGCAAAATTCACAGAAATCCGTATCGCTCATACCAAGCACTAGTGCAAGCCGTTCAATTCCCTCAAAGTCAGCGTGTTCGATAGCCATCACGTTAGCATCAGCAAACAACTGCTCGGGATAATTGTAGATCAACTGCCTATTGATGAAGACGTTGATTTTATGAGCAAGAATCTTGTCCACCTGCAATAACACTGAAATTCATGAAAACCCTAAAATGGGTGATACAAGAC